GCATCTATTATTCCAACTAAGAAATGAATTGATCAATTATAATCCTACCATAATTGTTTGGGTACTTTGACTTTCTTGAGTCTGATCTATAAAACCATCTTCATTTCATAGACCATCTTTTGGAAACAAACTGAATTATTTCAGTATTAAAAAAAATATGAAGATAGCATTGTTTATCTATGACTTAAATGACAGTGGAAAGTATTGAATTGACATACTCAAATTATTTTCCAGGGAAATATTTGTAATGTCTCCTTCATGCTGCACCTCTTCTCTTCCAGGTTGATGCAGTTAAGGAACAGGTGAAAGCTAAATGCTCTGTTTTTGATCTCAAAGTGTTGAGCTCGGGCTTTGAGTGTGCATGGTTTTAGCTACACTCTCACTTTGACACAGTCAGAGAGACACCTTAAGGCTGACATTAGACCTGTTTAGGAACTTTATAGATATGTAGTGCCTCGCACTGCATACATGCCAATCCAGTCAGGGCATGCATGGAAATCCAACTGGCTTCAGGATTGGATAGTAATAGATGTGTTGTGGATGAGTAACACGTTGGGGACAGGATGTCAGGTTTTAAGAACAGAAACACTCTGAGAAGAGGTCACACTGTTTAACCTGCTAAATGAATGTGTTTGACACAGTTGAGAAATGTCCTATAAAATATAGGACTTATAATATTATAAATGTCCTTTGTGTATGACAAAAACAGTATTTTTTTTTGATTTTATTTACCAAATTTAGCGCTAAAATTGCTTGTATTTTGACATTTTATAGAGCTTTAATTGCGAAAGGCCTCATCTTAATGATATTATCTGAGGGGGTCTGCTGAAGTGAAATTGGTCTATCGAAACAGGAAGTTTCTCAATGACAACCTGAGATGTTGTTTTGAAGTCGGATTGTTTTTTTTAATTAAGTGTGACTTGTTTTTTCCCACAACTGAAAACACAGCTCATAAGCGACACATGCTCGCCCATTTATTAATGTCACTATGAGGAGGGAGTGAGAGAAGCAACACTTTTGACACATTTCTTTTTATGTTCTAGCTATAGCTATTTTCAACATGGCACGTAGAGCAAGCAGAGTATATTTGACACATCCTTCATAATCCATTCTCAGATATCGACACTGCACAGTATGAGTTGTATGTTTTTGTGAATCACCTGGTCATATGAATAAAGCATGCATAGAAACGTCTCTTGCTGATACGTAGCAGCAGGCTGTTTATGTGCCTGGCTTCCTGTAGAAAGGCTGGAGCTATGGAGAGCACCTGACCTGAGACCCCCCCCCCCCCCCCCCCCCCCCCCTCCTGCCAAACTGCATCTCAGTGCTGCAGCCTCTGACTCACTGCCAGCGGTGCATCACACAGAGCATGATGCTGTGTCTGTTTACTGTGGAGCTTTGAACGTACAGTGTGTCTGAAGAGGCATGGGGAATCTGAATGAAGCCTTGACTATTGTCTGTAGATATAACATGCATCCAGGGGCTGCTGCTGCTCTCCCCTCACCAGCAGATATCAGCCTTTTGCCCGTTGACTTGCTGCCTGTTGTGTTCTTTCAGTTTTTTTTATTTAAAGAAAAGGCTGTTTGTATTGTAAATGTCAACCAGGCCACACAGACAGAGGAAAGGCAATTATTTGTTATGGTATTTATTAGCTAGACCTCCACTACCACTGGTTCAACCACTTTAAGTTTTTCATCATGATTTTTATTTGTATTGTTTTGCTACTGTGTGAAATCTGCAATGCGTGGCGGCCCACATGAGCATCCTTTGTCATGAAAGATTCTTTAACAAATATATCTGTCTTGTACTTGGTGAGTATGGTGTTGTCCTCATTAGGTGTTGTTCAGTTCTAAATTCTATCATTTCTTTGCTTTGCAGGTTGACAAACTAGAAACCTCAGAGACTGTAAGGAAAGAGGAGGAGCAGGCAACAGAGACGCAACCCATCGTCTACGGTAACCGTCCTCTAATGATGTCTGTGTCCATTTCACTGTCATAACAAGAACAGCTGTGTTTTTTTAAATATCAAAGTTTTTAAAAGCCCCCTTCAAATGCGTTTGAATTGCAAATATTTAATAGGATAACGTTTGCATATTTAAAAAATGTGCCTTTTTTTAAAGTGATTAACCTGGGGAATGTTCATGTTTATCTATTTGTTAAATATATCATCCCATTCACCTTAAGTGTCTCCCAAAAAAGATCCATAAGGATGCACTATGATCATTTACAGGCTCTGGTTGAATATGAATACCAGTCACTTGTTTTAAACCCCGTGTGTTCCTTGCAGGCACACCCCAGCTGATGCTGACGGCGGGCCCCACCGTCCCCGTGGCTCCCCAGCAACCGTACGGCTACGGCTACCAGGCCCCCGCAGGCTTCGCTCCGCCAGCTGCTCAGCCAGGCTTTGGCTACGGCATGTAAAGACCCCCCCCCCCCCCTTCATTACCTTCTCTCCACGTGCAGGCTGGAGCAAACATCCATCCGTGTCCCACAGTCCTTCACCAGAGCGTCAGTCTGCCCCCTACAGGCAGCGGGGGGGGGGGGCCGCACAGACAACGTTTCTCTTCTGTTTTTCTTTCTTTCCTTTTTTTTTGTCATGAAGGACTCAGTTTTATTTCTGTTGTCAAAGAAAAAGATTGAATCACAAAGATTAATTTTCTCACATTCCGTATCGACTAGATTAATTTGTTTCTTTTTGTCTATTTTATTTGAATGGGAAATGGTTTATGTACAATGGGGAGGGGCTTGTGAGAAGAGCTAGTCCTCTACTCGGTTTAAAAAAAAAAAAAAAAATGGTCTGTTGTGAAGCATCTGATTTGCACTCTGTAGTGAAAAGAAATTAATGTAGAACCTCTTCCTTTTGATGTGTGTGAGCAGCTTCTTCTGTCCGACTGTAAAATGCATTTAATTATTGTATATTCAGACACAAAAAAAACGCTTCCATGTTCTTCTATATTTGAACATGAGACCGCCGCTTCCACGACCACAATCCTGAAACACTACCAGTCACATCCCACACACACACTTACACGTCGGGCTGAAACACAAGAGAGTATTTTACGTATGATTTACAGGAAAGTTCCATTCTTTCCAGCAAAGCCTATGAAGGACTCTAAACAAATTAACATTCAGACGACATTTCCATGTGCTTTAAATACTGCTCTAACGTGGGACCATTCCACCTCAGGAGGGACTGCAAGACCTGTTTGACTAACATGATCCCCCCCCAGGCCCCCCCCCCCCCCCCCCCCCCCCCCCCCCCAAAAACTCCCTTCATGCTGCGGTGCATCACAGGACTTGGTGGTAATTTGAAGTTTGTATCAAAGGCTTTTGCGTGTATACAGGAAATCAATCATTAACTCCTTTGAACTTATATTCTTATCTAAATTACCTTTAGATTTAAATTGTGCACTTAAGATACTTGATTGTGCATAATCAGGATCATTATGAATGAAACAGCGGTTTTGTTTTCCACTTAAAAATAAAGGCTTCTTGTTTGTCAAGAAAGGTCTGATTGTGTCGTGTTGTGTAGGTGGAGAAAGCAGCAGGTCACGTTTAACTTCCGTCCAATCAGATAGCTGAACATTTAGCCCCCAAAAATGTCAGGGGGGGTCAGGGTTCTGATGGAAGTATGAAAGACATGTAGTTTGTACTCCAACGTAATATTACACAAAAGCCACAATACCAATATATTCCTATATCATGAATCTTTAACTGCAGAATTTCTATATGGTGATATAGTGATGAATTCCATTTAAATAGAAAATGCACGCCAGTTGATAATTATTATTTAATGCCCTTCTGATCTGCATAAAAGGTCATGAGACTAGAGGGATGTGTACTTAAATCTACAATTCTACAGGAAGCGAACATCAAACAAGCTGTTTAGTGTCGGGAGTGGATCAAAAATAAAATTATATAAATTGTTCAGTGTTGAAGTGTATTTTAAAATGCTGTAATGCTTCGTAAAATAATAAAAAATCTTTATTCGAAATATTATTTAAATCCTATATAAAACAGTTGTAGAATAAATAAAAAAACAAGTATTTTGCACCAGCATGTGTGTAGATTCTGTGAAATGTAATGTCAGAATCTTTGTGAAAACTGCCTCGGTGGGTTTTTAAAGATTTTCTTTTCTTATCGGTTGGTGAATGAGATCCACATTGAATATGGACTCCTAGAATAAGGGCTTCTCCATTTCCAAACAGTGTATCAGCACTTCCTTTGGCTGACTTTTGCAGAAATATTTGCAGACCAAAGCTGAACTTGGGAGTCTGAAAGGAAAGGATATTGCACAGAAACAGGAAACTCCTTTCTCAATTCAGTTGAAGTGAATGTCAGACAAATCTCAGAGATCATGTGAGAGTATCGTAAAAACCACTTTGTCTACAACACAGTTCAGTAGTGTTTTAGAGACTACATCAATTTCTTGGGTCTCGACTTAGCTGGATACTCTGATGGATTGGATTTCAACCTGCTCCTCTGACTTGGTCTACATTGTGCAATGTCTCAACTTGTTTCAAGTAGTCATAACATATTTATAGAATTCATTTTCAAACAGCTGAATGATCAGGGTATAATGTTACTTTTCAGAAGATTTGAGTAGATGCTCAAAAGATATGTGGATATGTTAACGGGTAAGATGGCGGCATTAATTCCTGGTTTTATAGGTTAAACTATTTCAAGCAGTGGTGTTAACTGCAAGTTTTATCACAATACGTTTGCTGTTATCACTAATTCTTGCTCTTTACAGTTTCAATTAAGGGGCCTGCTATCAATATGAAACGATATATATTAGTTAATATTCCTATATTATTTATTTTTTTAAAAGGTTACTGGTCTAATCTTCCAGATATTTAAATTAAAAAAACTATTTTAAACCAGTTATAACCATAGACCTGTTCACTATAAAGTGCCACATTCCTCACTTGAAGCACTGTTTAAATATTAATGAAGGATGTGAGCTTCATAATAAATTGGGACAAATGTGCCATGGGAATGAAAAAACTAAGGCGTAAATGCAAGACCAAGAACATTTAATATACTTCAGAGACATAATATTCATATGACATCGTTGTTAGCAGCTCCACTGCAAAATAATGCAGTACTGATTTCAATTATGCTAGCTAGACAATTCTAAGGCACTGCTGTTTGCATACCAGCTGACAGGAATGGGTTCTCCATTATATACACAGTACCAATCCAATGTTTAAGTGATTTTCCTATGACAAGTCAAAATGTCTGCACTGAAAATGTTTCAATTGTATTGTCCTGGGATTCTGATGAGATCAACAATCATTTATGTCTTTTCCTCTGTTCCTCTTCAAAAACAAACCTTGGCAGACTGTTTAGAGATGAGGAAAGTGTGTGGTGTTTTTGTCACAGAAGTAGCACAGTAAAATAGTATGCATCAAGCAGTTACTGCTGCTATTCAAGAGCCAACAAAGGTAGTAGGCATGTGTCCAAAACGGTACCCAAACAAATCTGAAACTTTACATGTATGAAACCGAGTCAATTGTTTTATAAAAACACAAACTCATTGCAATTCGTTTAAACAACAAAGACATTGTTTGCAAGTCCTACAGATGCAAACTCTAGTAGAGCTTCAAGTGTCCTGTGACCTTGTCAACGAGATCAGCTGGGCCTGGGCCCACTCCCAGCACGGTGCGGGACCCGGGGGCGATCTGAGTCCTTCCTGCGTCCTGAATCAGGCTGACAGGGAGCCCCACTTCTTTGGCGTGACCCAGCAGATCAATCAGGGTGTCCTCATCGGGCACCTTCACCACCACCTTGGGCTGCCCGCAGTACTCCCACTGTTTGAGAAGCTCAGGGTTCCTGCGCTGCACCTGTTTGTAGGCAGATACAGCAGCATGGGAGCACTGGGCGGCCACCTTCCCTTTGCCCATCTTCAGGTCGTTTCGGACCACTAACACCATCTTAAACTCGCCTCCTTCTCCCATCACGTTCGCTTCACCAGTGCCGTTCCCCATCGCTGCCATCAAGGTTTTGGATGTTGGACCTAAGCGAGCCCGAAGGTGCCAGCCGAGGAGGAGCCCGCAGCCCAGCCCTGCTACTACACCCAGGCCCAACGGACCATAAAGCATGTCCATGATGATGACCCTGCAAAAACAACAGAACAAAATAAGGCAAGTTCAGATCACATCTAAACCCGTTACATACACTGAGGGGAGATTTTGTTTAAGTCTAGACATTAGAAGCAGCAGTTGACTCAACCATATCACCACCAGGTCCATTCAGTGTCTGATCATATTACTTTATTCCCCTGTTGTCATGGAAAAGGAGAACTTATAACAGTCCATGTTGGTTAACCAATTGAGATTGTATAAATGTTCCTAAGCTCCAGGACAGCTACTACTTTTGTAGCTTTTTTAAGTTATTTACCCAGGTATAGGTTTGTAGGAATTCCTCTTTGTTTATTCTAACGTTAACGTAATAAGCGTTTAACGTTAGACATATGGCAACTATAGGAGCAAACGAGCTGACGCTACTGTAGCTAAATAGTGTATATAGACTTTACAGTGGCATAACAATAGTTTTTTTTTTTTTTAACAAACAGCTAGATAAATAACTCTGGCTAAAGATTTAGTTCCGTTTTTAAACACAACACTGTGTATACATTTAACCAATCTGTACTAAAACTTCGCGGGCTAAAAAGCTAACGCTAGCTAACTAACTTTATAACAGGAGTAAGCCTTGCTACCGTTAGCTTTCTGGTTAGAAAAAGACCTATTACTTTACAATAACACAACATCAGGACCAAACTATTACTTTCTTAGCAACTAGACTCATGTTCAAACATTTCCTGCCAATGCATTGCTAAAACTGACTTATGTTTCATACCCGCTGGTTAGTTCGACGTGCTAGCAGGAGCAGTATGAGGCGTGTGGTCTCTTGGTGATGACGTCACGGCACCAAAACTTTTCAAAATAAAAGATGAGTTTGCATCCTTTATATAATTATCTATATTATATATTGATGGTGGTGTTGATGCTTTGAGCAACAGACACATTAGGAAATGTTTACTACAGAGTGTTATGTGCATTTTAGATTCTGTTCAAGAGAAATACATCTGAAACACACACTTTGTTGTTGTTTAATTTAGTGTATTTTTGTACCATATCTAATATTATGGTGTATTATTTTTATTCTAATCCGACACTTGCGTACCACGTTTAGAGCAGATTAGGTGCCTTGCTCTACTCCCCCTACCAAGACTATCCGGCCAGTTCAAGACTATTCTTAGGCCAACACTGTCCTCTATTGAGCAAAACTAGGAACTACTGGCACCTGAGACTAAAACTCAACTTTATTTCCTACATTTCCCACATATACATGCAGTTTATTCTGCCCCAACAATATTCCATCAAGCTCAGTGCCGTTTTAGATGATCTTTCTACTAGTTTAAATCATCCCGTTGAGACCTTTCTACATACACTTAAAACAGCCAGCATGCAGAGAGGCTCCATGTAATTTATTCGAGCATACATTTTTTAACAGGAAATGACACAGAACAACACTGACCCAATGATCCAGCCTATATAGTGTGCCGCAAGATGCTGTAAACCTGGACAACATTATAATAAAATAAGATGGGATATACTTTATTGCCAATTTGGTAAATGTTTTCGTCACAGCAGCATGTCGATAAGACATGAATAAGAAGAAAGATCAAATCAAATGTAAAACAGTTCAGATATACATATCAACATTAGAAGAGAAACAAAACAGTGAATGTATATGTATAAAAAATGAAGGATATATAACTGTCAGATGGCTGAGAAGTGATAGACCAAATAGATTTTCTTGGTCACATTAATGTGAAGTGATGACCCTGGGAAACATTGGAACATAATGAGTGAATAGATGGATATTTCAAAACGGTTTTCAGAGTTTAGAAATGATTAGAAATATTTACTTATTTAAATATATTGTTAGATGGTATTCTTTGACCTGTTTTCTACCAAAGGAGGCTATAGGGCTACACTGTTATTGGAGCAGAACCACAACACTATTGTTTTGGTGACAAAAGGAACAGCACTTTTTCTCTTTACTGCTCTGCTTTAGTTTCAGTTTGGAACTGCAGTGGAGTTGTCCTTCTTTCCTGCTTTGGTGTCCATTCATATTTTATGCATTGGTCTCTAGTTTGACAACTGCTATCTCAACCTCTTAAAATAACTAAATTACATATTAGCAATACACTGATTGACTGAACCAACCCAGGAGGGGAACTGACCTGATTTCAGTTCTAAGACTTCTGGATCCAAAACATGGATGATATACCCAGAAGTCTAGAGTACAGTCATATAAGTTATATGTCGTAAATATAGAGACAGAAGCGCTTCTCCAATCGCATCTCAATTAAGTCCCAAGATAAAGTAACTTTAAAAAACACTTCTCACTAGAAAACACTATATAAATACCTGTTGTACTCTGATAAACAAGATGATGCTCATATTTAAACATGGCGACTTCCGGTTCCATAGTTATGACCTGAAAAATGTGATGTCCTGAGGCGTTTTATGTTTTTCCCTTTGGGAATTAGCTGAGCACTCGTTGCCCAGATGCCATTCATTCACAGTGTTTGTGAAACCTACTGAGGACAGAAAAGTGTTAGAAGTGTGCTCCCGGAAAGTGATCCACTTATTTATAGACACTTTAATTAGACTGGCTCTCTGGAGGTAGTACCATGCAGGCAAATGATGAAATCTCACCCTCTTTCTTTCTGTGTCTCTCTTCTGTCAGCCTGCTGTCCCCTCCCCCGACAACTCTGTATCAGTGCTGCATCCCCGACTGGCCCCCTCCATCACCACACCCTGCACTCAAGTTATGATGCAGTTCATGTGCAGCATACTTTAGCATACGTTTGCAGTGCAGCTCCATCTCAGGTTTTATTTTATCTTATCTTGGATCAGCTTAACGGTGAGTTTACCTTCTGCATGATGCATTGCTCAAATACATCAGGCTGTTACATTACAGCCCTGCTTTGTTTTTACACTTTGTGAATGGTTAATCTCTCTCCAGTGCACTGTTGTTGTCTCTTTTTAACTGTGAGAATTAATTACTGCTTATCAAATGTCTCATCCTGAAGTGTAAGTGCTCTCTCTTCAGTTTCTCATTGTCCCTCGCTCAAGAGTTACTCAACAGGTCTGGTTTGTTTTGGTTGAAGCGATTGCGCAATCAAGTGTTGGAGCAGTGCTGTGCTTCACAAAGGCAGTAGTGTTGTTTTGAAACTGTTTACTAGGTATTGCTCGGGAGTATTGCCTTGTTTTTAAAATAATAATCAAATAAATTGTCGTGTAGAATGTTGCACATTATTATACATGAGCAGCTTTGTGTGTTGCACAAAGATATCAGTTGGTCACTCATTTCTATAATATGTGTTACTTACAAGATATTACACATGGACATATTGAGCCCTTTTGTTGGTGTACGTTTTGTTCTCATATGTGCATGGGCAGGGTGTATAAAAGAGCTTGTGGTTCTAGTGCGAGTGTCTTTGAGGTTTAACGTCTGTGATAAAAATGCTTTTGTTTGTGGTTCCCTGAGATGGTCAGGAGTAGCTAGCTCTTCAAATGCCTTGCAGTCTAACCGTCAATATGTTTACTGTGTGTGTGTGTGTGTGTGTGTGTGTGTGTGTGTGTGTGTGTGTGTGTGTGTGTGTGTGTGTGTGTGTGTGTGTGTGTGTGTGTGTGTGTGTGTGTGTGTGTGTGTGTGTGTGTGTGTGTGTGTGTGTGTGTGTGTGTGTGTGTCCTTCGGGATAAAACACAAGCACATGTTGGACCTTAAGAGTCACAACAAGATAGATAAAATGTAAGAAAGTCATTGCAGGAATCATTTGAATTTGACCAAAACCTCAGAATATTTCCATCAAATTCTGAACAGGCATCATGGCCTGCTGTGATATCAAAGCTGTGCAGCTTGTCGCCTGACAGCTCAGAGAGTGTGGATGCATGGAAACAGAAGCTAGACGCCCAGCAGACCTAGGGTACGGGACAGAGAGAGACTGACAATTCCTCCAGATGGTGGACAGCATACCTCCGTGTCAGAGTCCCCATCTCACTGCTCACTGACAAATTCCTCAGGCTCTGAAGTGAGACACAGAGTGTGTGTGGATTTCCTTTGAGGATATGTAATGAAGAAACTAAAAGCAAAATCTTGTCCTTCTCTTTCACCCATTATTTAAACTCATTACCATTGGTTCCCATGTACGCCATTTGATCACCAGGGGGGGTGAATTAATAATCATTTGTACACACAGAAAAACTAACAAGACTTACCTCAGTACTCATTAGGTCATGCACCTCCTAGCAGGTTACTTTTATTCTGCAGGTTGCAGGAGCAGGAAAGTACTGACTGCTCGGCGTGTACACAGTGTGTACGCAGAGTGTGGGTGTGCTGTGGTGTGTGAGTCTATATTTGTTTTGGGGCCCGCAGCAGTATCTAATTTATGGAGTGTGTAATTCTGTGCTGAAGGCCCGTTTCTTCTCTCAGCAGGACTCCTTCCAGGTGAATGAGATGGCAGAGTGTGGGGTCCAAGGTGAACAACCTCAGAGGCGTCTTGCAGTGAAGGAAAACGGAGAGCTGACAGGTAAAAACGAAACACATCCAATGGTTAGGTGGTCATAACCACGCTTAAAGAAACTTGTATTATTAGTGCATTAAAATGCCTTGTATTTAAAAGTTGTTTTGTTATTCTCATGATTTAAAAAATGTAATTCCTTGTATATTTTTTGTTTGTGTTCTTGTCATACACACGCTGTGCGGCTAGACTCGGAGCTGTCTGTGGATGAGAGGAAACAGAGGGACAGGGAGGAGAGGGAATCTCTGGTGTTATGGAGGAATCCTCTGCTCACACTACACTACTTTACTCTGGAACTGCTTATCACCATTGAAGAGTGGCTGAAGAGGTGAGAGGAGGGGTGTTATAGTGGTGGTAGCACTCAGATCTCTTACTTTAGTAAAAGTTGTATACCACATGTGGAAAGTTCATGCATTTAAAAAGTCCTGCATTCAAAATGTTACTTAACTAATAAAAGAAATAGTAGCATCAAAATGTACAATATAAGTAGAAAAATACTCATTCTGCAGAATGGCCCATTCCAGAATAATTGATGCATAAATAAATGTCCCTTTAAAGTTGCGGCTCGTCAAGTTATGTTTGTTTGTTATTTACTAAGGGAGTTACTAAAAAAAGTAGAAGGAAACGGAAGAACCTCAAAATAGTGCTTCAGTAGAGAACCTGAGTAAATGTACTTACTATGTTTAATAAAAGTCTGTGAGTTAAAAATCAATAAAGAGAGAAACTGAAAAAAGGAAAATACCGGTTTAACTGTAAAAGCATATTTTAAACAATTTAAATACATTTAAATATGTATTATTCATGTGTTAATGTAACTATAGGGACCTCAGCAGATAAGCAGTATTTTTGCTGTCAGTTTTATTTAACGAGGTGCTAGTGCTGCGTGTTTATTGCAGGCAGAAAGAGGATACGCTGGTTGTAAAAAATAAAAGCAAACTGCTTCCCTCGCACACAAAAGTACAAATCTATAACCAGACAGGAGGTGACCTTGATTGTCTCAGTGCTCTCAACCTAAAAAGCCTTCTCCCTCATAGTTTAGTCTTCAGTCAGATTTGTCGCAGAACCTAATACAGCACAAAGATCTGTATTATATATCATTGTTTCCCCTCATAACTCCTCAGACTGGTAGAGCTGGCAAGGTGTTTCCATCTCACTAACTGATGCCACCTCACACACACAAAAGCTACAGCATCAGAACAGACAGCATCAGAGTTTGCTGTTATGAAAAAGTTCCTATAGCTGAACAACATGTTTTTTACACACCAAGTAATCTTTGTTGACACAGGGGCCTAAAAGAAGGTCAGAG